AAAATCAACAGTCTTTCCAAGGAATAAACCTACAGACAAGGAGTTCATATCAAAGCGTTACGTTATATTTTCATTGATATTAATACCACGAGCAAAATAAAATGAACTGAGTGTATCCTTTAAAGTATGCTCACACGAATATATTCAAATATGGTTCAGTGGTTTTATTATTCAGTATGAGAAATTATTTACAGTTAATAAATATATAAATAAAATTAGACACAGAGGCTTATTAGTGTCGCAAAGTTCTGGCAATTCATATGAAGAAGGCCGTTGAGATTTAATAGGGTTTCAAATGTTGCATTTTTCTTGATTAATATTGCTCATGCTGATCGGTGTCTGTATCACTGAATTAGTGGTACTTGCTAATTGTCTTTAGCTTAAGATAACGAATCCATAGAATCATGGCTTTTCATTTTACTTCAACTAGAAAGCTATTTCAGTGGTTAATATCATGAGTCAGTTGAAGCTAGACCACCACAGAAAACTTGAAAGCACTGGACGGCCGTTTCGTCTTATTGTGGGACTCCTCAACGGTGCGCATCCACGACCTCGCCGGCACGAGCACTTAGCCACTAGACCACTAGGCCGGCATCCAACGGTGTTAATGTCTAACTTCAACTAATCCATGAAATTGAGTGACATATCCACCATTGTCTTCAGTGGTTCAATATCTCACAACAGACCTGGTTGAACTTCATTGATCATTACTTCTCACTAGAACTCCAGAATATACCTTGTGAAGCCAGTCACTAGTGAGCATATGTTGACTAATATCCACAAAACCCATCTGATATTAAAAAGCTATTATTAATTAAATGTTGCTACTGTATGTTTGGTCTGAAAAACATTTCACTTTTCGGATAGCTGAAACAGTTGAGTCTCGTAACGAATACACTTGAAAAAGAACCTCATCGGACCCGCTGATTATTCCTATACTTGTAAGCTCAAGCTTGATGAGCAGGCAAGATATTAGTTTTGATCTATTTATACAAAAGTGCCCATTAACCTTTCTATGCAGCCATGTAAAAACTTTACCACAAGGATCAAGCTCACAACAAACGGTTTTGAGTAGACTCAAGCAAGTGCATGTCACTCTCACTTACCTTAGTGTAAAAACGCAGTGCTTTTGAGGTAGATGAGGCTCATGTTTCATCACGTCTTTGTTATTATAAGTGAAACTTATTAAAAATATTCGAATAATGGTATACACTTGCTAACCTAAAGGCGAAATATTCCGATGGAACGAAATAAACGAAACTGCGGAAATCTCAAAGCTGTACTCACAGTAAAGTTTGGTCCTTTCTCTCAATAAACTAAAGTTTCGTCTATCAAAGATATTTCTCGATAATTTTGATTTAAATTTTATTTTCACAAAGGACATAAATAAACACTGTTTCCTTTTGTTTTATTGTTATTCTTGTCCTTTGTTTCGTCACAGACAATTCAGTCGTTTCCTTAGATTTTCATATATTGGCTGGTTTAAACAGTCGATGTGTCAAACATGATATTTGCAATGCAATCAAAAAATTTACACATACTTTGTACAAATTCTTTATTGAAGAAACCAAATTATTAGGACACATTTACAGTTCGAAAAAAGACATTTACAAAACTCTGTTGAACTACTTCGTTAACAAATTCAGTGCAGTTAGATTAAAATCAAACTAGCCCATTTATAGGTAGACTACAAAATCAAGTTCTCGTTGTTTAAACATTTTTGTTTGATTGTACATGACTGACTTCCATTTAGATTTATAATTTCACCTGTTGATAGGACAGGTAAACGGATTTCTGTCGACGAACAAGTGTTTTGTTAAGATGATAGTTACATTTTTCATTCCTTTGTGTAAAGGTTTATTTCACCTAATTTTGGAGAATTGTAGAGATACCTTCAATCACAATAAACTGAAATCCTTGCATTTTGTACCATACGACTATTTTTTAATTGATTATCAGTCTAATTTTGTCCTTATTTGACAAACATTGACTATTAATAGACTACTTTAAATTACTTGTCAAGTGACTAAGTATTTATATTTCTGTTGTTGTTCATGACAGAAACTACCATTAACTATTCATTTGAAGATACAGTTAAGTCTTATTTCATAATAAAAACTTTATCAACCAAAAACACGCGAATGCACACAAAAGCCATACTTTTGAATTACGCAGAAAGTAAGAGAGTAATGGCTAAACAGAAATTTTCCTATCATTTAAGTATAATAAATGAATAAACAGAATAATTGTTTTCAACACAATTTCGATTTTCCTTCTGCTAATATTTATTAGATCGGCAATTTATTATAAAGCTATGCAAAGTGTAAACTGACATAGAATAATTGCATAAGTATAATGACTAGATGCAGCAAAAAGGAGATCGGACTACTAATTTCTTAGTTCGTACGTTGAAGTCCTTTGGCACTAGCGATATATAAAAAGTAGGATTTCTGTAACAGATCGCATATGTATGGTGGCTAAATATTCGCTTGACCAATCAATATTTATAAGATGCTTGGAATGTTTATCTTCGTGTGTTGTTTAGGCTTGGAATGGTTGAAGTATGGACATTCGTTTTTCTTTGATGTGTAAATAATGACGACAACGGAGTTCAAACGACAGTCCTTGGTACTTTTTTATTTAGGAATCCTACATTCTGTAACTGCAAACTTCGCGATCAGAAAAATGCTGCTTCTGGTTGGTTCACATGTCAGTTACGATATTACATTCAGAAAAGGTTGAACATTGTATTTACAGCAATACAACATTTCCAGAGGAATACATTTATTGAAACTCAATAGGCTATATAAGATTTTGATGATGAAGCGATATGAGCAACTTTCAAGTTCAGGTAGCCATTTTCCGGAGAATTAGTTTGCAAATATCGTATGTGTATTCAGTGACCTATTGCTTGCTTGCACGCTTTATACGGACATATTTGTAAGCTTTCGTTTAGCTCAATGAGTACTAAATTACGTTTTCTATTCGTTAGTTACAGTTGATTAATTATAAATCTGTCACTTAGCTTTGTATCACAAACATTATAGTTGTAAACCAGTTGAAATTAATTATTGAGGATGCATTCTGGCGTTACATCTTATGTAATAATGATGTTAGTAGGACATAGTAGTTGACTGACTTTTGGAGTGTTGTTGTGGTGTGTACTACTGATGTCGACAGATGTAAGTAGTATGTATCATCAGCCGGAAGTGAAATGCCTGGAGGCAGAAGGTTAAGTTCAAAGAAGAGAGAACGAGAACAAAGAATCATTGGTGTGGAAACGAAAGAACATTGAAGTCTGAGACGATTGACTGATATTTGCAAAATGAACAGTCAAGTTTGAAACCGTTGATTGACATTTTGCAAATTAACTAGTTACTGTATGGTTCTCAAATTTTACTAAGATGTTCTGTAATTTTGTATTCAGATGCATTCATTTGTGCCCGCTTGTGTTCTCGTTTGCTACATTATGACTGGTGGTTTGAAAATTGGTGAATTGTACATAGGTAATCAGTCGTTGAGAATATAAGTTTGTGTGCTTAAGTGAAAGTTCACAACTGGCGTTCATAAACTATTTGATGATAAATTAACTAATTTCAACAGATAAAACAAAACAATGATGGGCTAATAGGAGTAAATGATCTTCATACTACTGGCGATAACAATGCAAAATCAAATGCTGAAAAATTTTCAACTAATCATATTTCCTTGCCCTCAGTTTCCAAATGTACATTTGACAACACGAAGGATTTTTATGAATTTTTCGTTAGTTTTTCATAAATTTGACCATAACCACTATGTTTCTGTACACTGCTAGTTGTTGAGTATCATTTGAAAGTCAGACGAACTGACCAAATTTAGAGGAAAATATACCATTATTGGAACGACGTTGGTTAAAGTCCGTTCATTTTCACTGAATAGAACCTAGTCTAGTGATGGTGTTTAAAGCTATACTAGAAGTAGACACGAAATTTCACATAACCTTATGTTTATAACTCAACAGTTTTTCTATCATTAAACTGGATAATTGTTTCTTCATTATACTATAACATGTTATTATTATAAACAACTGCATACTTAGTTCACTTTAATGCAATAAATTTGTTGATATCTGTATCATTCTTTTGTTTCACGACTCAAGCGGCTGTGACAAAATATAGTTCGTGCACTCCAGAATTATTCTAAGCATTATTAGAAGCCAGTCTTAAGTATGAAAGTGTCATCTTAGTTTTAGAATAATTCAATAAATTCAGACTCAAATTTTTTAGTGAACCGCATCAAGTATTTCAGTGTTTCGTAGCCAAGCATTCTAAAAACTTTGCTCTAGAGTTCTAGTGAGAAGCAGTGATCAGTGTAGTTCATCCGGGTCTGTTGTGAGATATTAAACCACTGAAGACGACAGTGGATGTGTCGCTCGATTCTGTGGATTAGTTGAAGTTAGACAGTAACACCGTTGGATACCGGTTCACTGATCTAGAGGTTAAGCGCTCGTTCTCGGGACGGATAGATTGTGGGTTTGAATCTCGAGAGGCGGGATCATTGATGAGCGCTGCTGAAGAGTCCCACAATAGGACAAAACGGCCGCGCAGTGCTTCCAGGTTTTCTGTGGTGGTCTAGCCTTAATTGACTCATGATCTAAATTATTAAAACTACTATGATATACACAAAACCCCTTCTGATATTATCTGAATTCACCAAAGAATAGTTAGATATTGTCATTCTATTTGTAAGCTAAGCATAACAAATAGTTGTATAACCTAGTTATAATTTACTTTTTGAGTTTTAATCTTTTATTTTGATAAAAATATCTATTTTAGTGAATATTTTGTACTCAAAAAAATAAAATTTACAAACAATAAAAGAAAATGTTTCTTGGATAAATCAAAATTTGAATAAGTATTTTTAATTTCTTAAATCATGTTTGGAGTATTCCTCCAACAAAATATGGTATAAATAAACCGTCACAATTACAAAATCAACTTTTGTTAAAATTCAGAGTCATGATGAATACAAATTTTATGAAAAAACTGAATCGCATAATTTATAATGTATAGTATTAGACAAAATGTGAAAATGAATTCAGGAAGTGATTTTATGACACTGGAAACTGTTACTTTTCTTTGTGTTATCACATCCATACCTATCATATTTTTAATATTACTTTCAATTTTGATTTTTAGCAACCAATCGAAAGGTGTCCCAGCACCATACAAGTTAAAAGACCGCTTTACTTCTATTCAAACATCATCTGTTGATTTAAATATCTATTCTAATTCATCAACTGCGTTTCCTATTGATGTTATTAAAAATTTACATTTACCACAGTACAGGCCGGTACCTGCGCATAAGTTAGGAATTATGTCAGAGGACTTAAGTTCAGCATTTCCAGTTTTAAACTTTACATCAAAACAGAAACAAGAACATTCAGTTCAGCAGGTGCCATTACCAGAATCGCTGTCATCCTCTCCCTTGAAGATCACATCAATAATATTGCCAACAACAATTAACACATCACTGGAAAATCAATCTGTTGGGCTGGCAAATAAATGTGATAACTCTTTAATACAGTCATACGATAAGATATCTATGCAACTAATCTTAACTGATGGGGATCAAAATTCTTCTGCGTATAACTCAAGAATAAATGATTATAATAAACATTTTCATGAACAAACGATTACGTTAACAGATCAAAATATAAATAACTCAGAAAAGTCAGCTGCGACTAAGTTTTATCATCCTGGAGGTGATTCAGGGAAGTTCTATGAATTATCGCTGTTTTGTCTTTATATTGCTACAGTATAGACTAGTTACTTATTGATTTGATATTATATTATCTGTCATTATGGATGACGACTAAGTCGGAAATTAATTGCATTGCCATTCTCGTAGGTTGCTCTTATATTATGTCGGCATATTACACTATGCATCCTTACAAAATAAATCATAGGTAATTGTTTCAGACATCAGGTATTACGTGTGTTGATGCGAACAATAACACCATATAAGAAAACAAATTCGGATAGCTTTTGCTTATTGTAAATTTGCCAGTAAAAAACTTATGCGAAAAATGTCAGTGTACTTCTAGAATATTGTGTGTGGTCATTTGAGTAACAAAAACTGTCAAACTAAAAAGGTGGAGTTAATGGATGAAATGTTTTCAGTAACTGTGTCTTTCAGATAATATTTCAAAAATATAACTCTAAAAGTATACCCTTTTAATCCTGTATATCACTTAATAACGTAGAAGTAAAAGCTAAGTTGATATATTTTTGCAATCTACTCATCGCGTTTATCTATATGCTTAAAAATAAAGATCAAAGGTTTGTTATTAAATTAGTCACTACCGTATGACGACTCAAAGGTTAAAACTATTCATATGTATTTTGCAAACATTCATATAGTTTAAAGATAGCTTTTTTCATGAAATGACGTCATCGGAGAATGAAGATCACAGTTCTACTCCACGTGAAGCTGTCAATACGCATTGCTAAAGATTCGCAAGCTGAAACGAAGTAGCACTCTGCTGCTTTCTCTAATTGCGAGGTTCTCCATTCTGTTTCACCTTGAATTACAAATCTTACAAAATTTCAGTCTGGTAAAAGTGGATTTTATATTGAACGACTCTAAGAAACCAATTTTTTATACAAGAGACTTAGGATCACTTCCTCCTAAGTCTTAAAGTGTGGGTGCTTGTTACGACATTGACGTAGCCTGGGTGATGAAAATGATCAAGTAACAGGTAAAGGTTAAATAATAAAGAACATATGGAACAAAAAACTGAATGTTTGGACTATATAACTTGTTTGGCCCGATCCATAATGACAATAACGAGCAAATGGCTCGACAAGTCATTTGATTACTGTAGATTGTGCTTGATCTATAGAGTCCAAAAAATACTTCGATTATATTAATTTTTTTAACTGCCTGAATATAATGCCTTATAAGTATTGGGATTTTCAAGAAATTTAGTTTGAGCTTTCGGGGTATGTAATCATGAACTAACTAACTACTTCTTATGACTAATATGTTCATTAGTTAATGGCAAACTCATGACCGTTTATTTATAAACAACATTCTCTGATTTCTTTAAAATATCATCCAAAATGTAATATTTGTGTAAAGATTCTGTAGTCTCTGCTTGGCTGAAGATCACGATGCCGAGTTCATTGAGTAAATCAATCACTTCTTAAACCGCATAGACAATTTATGATGTCTTGGGGATTGAAATGTTGAATGAATGATAGCAAAATTAAGTAAAGGAAAATATTAAAACGTTTAGTTGTAATAGTATTCTTTTCACTACTTTAATGATAAAAATGTTTAAACGACAAAGTGTGAACATGTCAGTATTAACATTAATTTATCGGTTATTATTACGCAATTCCTAATTGCGGAGCTTAAGTGTTTTGTGAGAATAAACCTATTGGCGTTAGGTTTATGTCGGTTTTGAAGTGTCCGATAAGTTAAAAGTCTTTGAAACCATTTTAAATAAATTATATCCATATTGTGACCAATCATACCATAATTACTTATTTTGTGTGCGAATTAACACGTTTTTACTAATTGATTGTTTTGTGACTCTAAGAAGCATTTCGTGTTGAATGATTTGGCTCTGTGCACTATGTATCTATTAAAGCTAGAAACGCAATACAGTCACAACCACTGATTTATAAACATGTTTATAAATATGAGTACCTTCGATTTAGTAAAGTGTGATAAGAAGAATAACTACCAATACCTCCACCCTAATCTTTAAAATTTATGCAAGCCAAGTATGCAGGGAATGAAAAGAAATGATAATTTTAGAGTCAGTCTGTATCGACAGACACGGAGTTCTAATTCTCTTCTGTTAATTTAATTGGAATTTGTGCATTATCAGAACTCAGAACCTTGTCATCATATAATTATTTAAAGCATTAAATCTAATACATTGATAGATAACATTAAAACTGTAGGTTCAGAAATTCATTTAAAAGATAATAGGAAGTCTGAGTATATCTTGTAAATATAATATGCTTCAATGGTTTAGTCACAATTTCGAAAAATTTAGCCTTTTTTATAAAGTGAAAAATATGAAAAACGCCTCAGGGTTATTTATTTGTTACCATTTTCTGGATGAGTTCAAACAAAAAATCTTTACAAGCGTCATCTTGTTGACTTTTCAAATAGTTCATATATGCTAGTCTGAGGATTAAGTCTTTCTACTAAACTTTTCTCATAGTCAATGTGAGAACTAATCAAGAAGAAAACAATGTAGCAACATAAAGAGAACACGAATAACCTGTTCGTTTTCACTGGTTCTAATGTGATTCAAAAGGATTACGTTTGTTTTTATCTGATGTAAGGATAATTTTAACTATATATTTTTGAATAGCTGAGTAAATAAAATGTTATGTGTTCTTATTTTGGCTGTCAAAACCGATAAGTTTCGAAAATAATAATAATTCTTATAGGATTTCTGCTGGATTTTTAAGATAAATATTAAACTGTATTGAAAATGCTTATGACCTAACGTCAGCCAACTACATTTGAAATTGAGAGAATTACATCGTTAATTACTGATAGGTAGAAATATGTTCTTAAGATTTACTACCCAGATTGTGATAGTAGGTCACATATATACGAATATAAGCTGGTTTGTCGAAAAAGTATTCACTTTAAAGAAATGAATAAATAAAGCACTTTTTAGGAACTATTTTACAGATAGGACAGATTATACAACTGTCGACCAAGTTCATAACTGATGAGAGGTAAGATATGTTATGTATCATGGACTTTACTAATTATTGACTAAATAGTATTCAGACTGTTCGAAAACGACAATTTGTCGCCAGATAAAATCCAAGATATGCTTTTCAATAATTTCTCATCAGGTTCTACAATTATGAATCCAAATTAATAGTCCATAAAATTAGCCAGATTTAAGGCAGAGCACATCATTTAAAATTGTAAAGTGTGAATCAAGAACTGTTCTTTGTCATATAAATCAAATCAAATTGCCACTGTTGGGGCTAATTTGATTTATATGACAATGAACATATCTTAATTCACATATTACAATTTTAAATGATGTACTCTGCCTTAAATCTGGCTAATTTTATGGATTAATAATTTGGATTTATAATTGTAGAACCTGATGAGAAATTATCGAAAAGAATATTCTTCGTTCATACAACTGTGTTCTAATATGATGGATATTTTTCAGCGATCCAAGATATACCTCATTAATTAGCACTGTAGGGTGCAACACGAAACGTTCACAGAATTCTAAGACAATACTCAAATAAATTTTTCTGCAATACAGCTAACACGTATCAAAATACATTAGTTTGAGTAAAAGACAAATTCCACCTACCTCTTATTATTGACTTTGTTGCCTTACGGTTTGAATCAGATTTGTTGTTCTATCGAGCAATTATTATTCAGGCCTAAAATACATTTGAATCACTCAAAAGATGGCCTAACAATTCTTCAGGACTTACAAGTCTAAAAGTTATGATTAGCAATGGCTGGGCTGGTTATACATTGGTAAAACCTGGTTTGGAATTATGGCTAATTCAGATGAATAAATGTTCACTCATTTATTTCCTTAAATTCCAAATACCAGTTTAAATCATTCTACATACATAAACTGACGTCACTAGTAGCGTCAAGTAACTTGTAGCATCAAGACTTTGTATACGGAGGATTTCCGTTTCTAAATTTCTATATCGAAACGTATCTGAATGCATCGTTCTACTTTGGAAAGTTGATTCTTGACAAAGTTAGCATTGATGTATATATTGCTATTAAAAACTTCTAAAGATTTTGTCGTTTTTATTACCGTAATTACTGTTAGGTTACCAGAAGAGTGTATAATCAATTATTAATTAGTGAGAGTAATTACTTTATTTTTTATGTGAAAACATACAGAACGACTTTTGTTTCTGGCTTGTATTTAAAAGATTTGAAAGTTTTTATTTCTTTTCGTTCGTGACTATGAACATAACCTAAAAGCATAATTAATTTCTGCTTTGGTAGATATCACTAGTGAAATCAATAGGATACCCAAATGAATATATCATGTTTTCAAGAACACGGCATTAAAAGAAATGCGAAGTAGTTCGAAAATTGAAGACAGTGCTGGGAAATCTTAAATCATTACTTTAGCCATATTCAAAACTTTAATCTGTTCATGCCATAGCCATCATAAAATTTAGAAAGAAAAGAGGGGTTCACTTGTGTACATTTAGTTACCAGATTTGCACATTTTCGCCATCGATATATATTTAGCTTCAATTAAATTGTTGTTTCCAGAAATATAGTCGACAAATTTTCATCACTGAAAAGTAAATTTTGACAGTCTTTATTATTACTTAATTAATGACGAATTATCGAATGACACAAGGATAAACAATGAAAACAAAAAAACAGCCGGTAAGGTTATTTTGTTTTACATCAATTAGATTATGAAATAATTCCCATCCTCGTAAGCAAGATGAGATTTGTAGGATAAAATAAATAAAACTCAAAGATCACTGGGTGTAATATTGCAATATCTGATAGGCTTGGAGTATGTGTTGTATATATTGAGTACTTTCAGAGCTGTTAATTAACAGAAGTTTTCACTATCTATATACTTGGGTAATTAACTGAATTTCATTAAGACTTGTAAGTTAAAACATAAATTATTGACCAAACCTTGATTTGACCATTAAATTTCGACTCTATCCATTTTGTCATGTTTGATTGAATCGTCAATTCTTTTTCTTTGTGTTCTATGTTATTAAATGTTTTACATTACCTTTCATTTATTGAAAGTT